CTGCTTAGCCAGAGATGTTTAATGTCAATGAGACTAAAGGTTCAATAAAACCTCTGAAATTAACTTAAACTCACACGTTTTGACATAATATTGCATTATCTTGGGCGCTTATAGTTAAGATGGCATTTCATAACAGTGGTGGTGTGTAATCAAGTGTAATTACTCAGTATTTAAGTACACATCTGACGTACTTTTGTGGTGTTTTTCATTTGTATTTCTCCCCCTTATACTCTTCATCTCAGAGGCAAATATCTTAGAGCTTGTTTTGAGGTAATTGTTAGATTATTGTACTTATTTTTCCGTAAAACAAACAAACAAGATTCTGAATGTTTGAGATAAACCAGAGGATTAAGAGCTTCTTTCTGGAAAATTATTCACTTCTTAAGCTAAATAAACGATGTATAACGCCTCTGGGATCGGCAGAAAAATGCAACACAATCAATCAAAAATAGTCCAAATAAATCAGACTTCATAAAACACTAACAGGCTGACTTCAAGTTCATTTAAACATCTGCATGGCTTTTACTTGTAATTAAGAATTTTCAAAGCGTAGTATTAGTACTTTTACTAAAGGATCTGAATACTTCTTCGACCAATGCTTGCACATCTGAATTGTCTTCAATCAAAAAAAGGCAAAAGATACTCCCTAAATGGATAATATATGAATACATCTGAGCGAATACAGTTACGTATAGTACAACAAGTATGACATCTACAAAGGTAATCTGTCTCTCAGCAGCCTCAACGTTTGTTTGCAAATGTAATGAATTTCACATCTGCTGCTTAAAAACTGCTGCATGACATCGATCCAGGAGTCTGACATTGATTAAAACATTACATTATTCACTGTGAGCCAACATTAGACGCACAGTATGGGTGCATGTGTGAGAAACAAATCGCAGTAAAAAAAAAAACATTGGCAGGAATATTTTGCTTTAACCGTCTAAAGCAGGGGTGTCAAACTCAAATACACAGTGGGCCAAAATTAAAAAATGGGTACTAGTCGAGGGCCGGACTGGTTCAATGTTTATTGCAAAACTTATTGAAATGAACTCATTGCACATATTAAACCTGGAACTAACAAAGCTTACATTATTGCCTATAAAAACAACATTAAACATTAAATAATCAGTTGCATTCATTTCTTATGGCTCTATCTGCCGAGTCATTTCTTATGATTACATTTTTCCACAGGTTCAAAAAAACAATTCCCCTCAAAGAACAAACCAAACATGCCCTGTTGTCGCAAGAAAGAAAGTGCAGAAGGAAACATGTAAACTCAGTGTGCTGCTCTGTGATGCTAGTTCAAGCCAGATACTTGGCATCTCATCTTGGGTGCAAGTTCATCAATGTTTGGGGTCAGGCCCTGAGCTGAGGAGACCCTCAGGATTGAGTGAAGGTGTGCGTGCAATATACCGGCGGGCCAGATCTAATAGTAATGAAAAATTATCCTGCGGGCCGAAATTAAATCCACCAAGGGCCTGATTTGGCCCCCGGGCCTTGAGTTTGACACATGTGATCTAAAACATGTTGCCGTTACAAGAATTTGGAGGCACTTTTAAAAAGAATAGTAATTATGTGTTATTTCATCCACAAAATGTAGACCAACAAACATTCTGAGCATGAATTAAATTAAACTCCACTAGTGCTCTTTGGGTGAGTAGAAAGAAAACACGTGCTGTAGATTTAGGATTCAAAAGCTCAATTCAGTGCAGCTCCAGGAGTCACTATGTTTAGTTGGTGTGAGTACGTGTCAGAAATAGAAATTAAAGAATTATGAAATTAAGGTTTTAAGTTGAGTTTTGCCTGGAAAATGTTGGTATACTTTTTGTATTGTTCTCAAAATCTTCTGGGCACTTTTTGTCCCTGGTTTAGGAAGTTTTGGGTCACTTTACCCGCCTTCATTTCTGAGAGTGTTTGCAGTGTATTCCATCTTATCGCTTAAAGAGTATCGGACATACGCAGGTGCACACAACTAGCAGCTTCTCAGACCCACATAGGACATTTCCGTGTTTGTATATTTGTGTGTTTTGCCTTGTAAATGGTCATTTCTTGACAGTATAACCAAGTTTACACATCTCAGAAATCAGCACAACCTCAGCTAATGATATATGTCACTCAATAGAGACTTATATACACTATAGTAGGGGATATTTGCCCATAAAACAAAACAACTGCTAACCATAACCATTATGTTACATTTCATGGCTCAATGTTCTTTACTCTACTCATGGGAACGTGTTCTTTAGCAGGTTAACATTCAAGTTGCTCTTTGGCAGCAAATGCATTAAAATCAGGTGTTTGCTTTGTTAAACTTGAGTTAATATTCACTTTAAGCAAACTTTATTTACTGTACGTCATTATTTACTCAGGTGCTGGATCGGTGAAATACAAGCAGCGGTGGGAAGTACAATAAGTATATCTTGAAGCTGATACTTTTGTACTTTTACTTGAGTAACATTTTGATTGCAGGACTTGTCACCGAGTATTCCTACACTCTGGTACTTCTACTTTTACTCCAGTACAAGATCTGAGTACTTCTACTTTTACTCCAGTACAAGATCTGAGTACTTCTCCCACCTCTGAATACAAGGGGGGACACTCACTGATATATTCAGATATTTCAGTTTCACTTTGAATGATTGAAAACTGAGTAATAGCCATGAAAAGGGAATCCTGTTGTCTCATAAGAAAACTCCCCCAGAGACACAGAGGATCTATATATATATATATATTTATAACAGAGTGAGGGAAACACAGCTTGGTAGTCGCCTCCAGAAGAGAAAACACACACTGAGTCATTAAATATGAGTGTTGACAGAGAAAGAAGTACGGGGCTTCCTATGTCTTAGTCTATAAGGAGAAGTCGGTCATTATGGCTCCAGCACACTGGGGTTCAAATACAACACAGATATTAAGCCTCCTCAGTGTCCGGAGATGTTGTCAGGCAAACTGTGTCTGCTGTACATTTCAACGTCTGTAATACAACGTTTTTATGTTTTATGGCCAGACGTGGTAATAGTTATTGACAGGCCAAGTCAGATTATACCGATGGCTTCAGTACAGGACTGAAGGGAAGAAGTGTCTGCTAGTATTCATTGGTCACAGACTTTAATCGTTAGCCTATATCACAACTTTAAAAAAACTATAAGTGTCAGGAAAGAGTTAATTTGAACATGAATTAAAGCTCATTTTCATTTTACAATTCCAATCAAATGTGTAGGAACAAAGAGAAACACAACTAAAATATGTCTTTCCTTCTACTAAGACTTCACGGTTGATTTACAAGAAACATGTCAACGTAGGAATAGAAGTTAAACGCACATGGTTAAGGTCCAATCTTTAACTGGTTAACATCACAACGGAACATAATGTTAAAATGTCCAAAACGGGCGTGAGTGAGTTTATCAGCACAACACAAGTTAAACTGACCGTGTGTCTTGAACCGCGCGTCAACGTATAACCGTTTAATATTTACCTCAATTATGTAATCAGACAATTTGTGGAGGAATAATTAACGGCTCTGTATTATAATGTTTAACATTTCCTTATTTAGGGTCGCATGTTAATAATATCCAAACTGTTCTTAGGCTTTCAGGTCGCTTGGGACTGAATAACATTATTAGTTATAAAGTTGTTTCTTAAAATCCCATATTGCTAATTAACACATTACTTTTAATCACGATTAGTTGACAAACTTGACATGACACAATTAAGCAAAATACCAACCAAACATGGACTTTAAATGTTTAATTAGACTTAATAAAAACAGACATTTTGTTTTTGTAATATTATGTAACTACTGCGTCAAAATGCCACGGTTGATTCGTTTTTTGACAATTTGATTGATTGATTCGAGTTAATTAATGTTCATATACGCTTTACTGTATACCACATTAGGTATGTGGACTGCGACATGCGCGTGTTATGTTTAAGGTGCAGTAAACTGTTATTCTTTCATTAATAGACATATTAAAAAGACGCTATTAAGGCCTCAACTAAAATAAACATCGTATGGTTTTCTCTTTCAGGACGTCTTACAAAGTGAATGTTTTTCATGATCAGAATACATAAATGACAACAAATATAATAACCCTAATGATGATAATATAATGTTGTTCTTCCCAATATTTCCGTATTCTTTAAATGACAGATTTTTAATAGCAGGCCACTAATCTGCACCGCTTAGCGACAACAGACCCTAACTGCTAAAGTTTCACAATCCTTGGTTTAATACTTATCATATTTCCAGATACTTCTTCAGTTAGAACATGTTTGTGTTCCACTCTCTTATCTAGCAGCCCATTGATTGCCAAATGACAACAAGTTGCTGCAGGTATTGCACAAGTTTACATCTTCATACTTCAAAAAACTGAGTCACAGAGACTTCTATTTTTGTCAGGAATGATTTAAGATTTTGAAATCCTTCTCAGGGTGGTTGCACAACACAAAGAATACAGTAACACCTCCATAAAGGTGAAGTCCGTACATCAACGCTGATACATTGAAATGACTTCTCATCCTGCATTGTTTGACTAAGTCCATCCCATCTGTGTTTCTATCAAACAAACATCCCCAGGCTTTCTTCCAGAGCATGGGAGATATTCTGGCTCGTCGCATTTTTGGCATTATTTGACATTATTTGTGGCGAAAATACAAACAAGACAGATGAAAGCAAACCAAGGCCAAGACAAAACAAACAGTGTGTGGATAATGAGACGAAGACTTTTCAAATGAAAGCCCAAAACAGTCCAGGTTTGAGTGCTCCATCTCTTTCCCTCAGTGACATTTTTATATTCCTCCGCTGTCTAAAACTGCTTTTTCGGCAGCTTTTATCAGTATTTGTAGAAATTATTATGACCCTCGAAGACAGACAATTTCATATCCTGATGAATGCATCTCCCTTCTTTTTCAAAATGTCCCTCAACTCAGCTTCTGTATAAACAAGTTAGAGGTTATAGTAGTTTAGTAGATATAGTTGTTTGTCTAGGCGTACTCACATGTGATGTTCTCACTGCAGCGATGAGTTCAGCTCTGACATTTTGTACTCACTGCAGGTGGCTTTTTCTCTCCCCGTCTCTCTCTCACACACACAAACACACACAAACACACACACATGCACACACACGCACGCACGCACGCACGCACGCACACACGCACGCACATACATACACGCACACACGCACGCACATACATACACACACGCACGCACACACACACGCACGCACGCACGCACGCACACACACACGCACACGCACACGCACACACACACATGCCACACACACACGCACACACACACACACACACACAGGAAGTCAGACACCACTATGATCCCATCCTTTTCTGTAATGTACAAAATGGATTACATTTACATTACAAGATTAGTTTACTCTCTATATCTCACACACACACACACACACACACACACACACACACACACACACACACACACACACACACACACACACACACTCACTCACACAAACAAACACACACACACACACACACACACCAGATGCCCTCGCCGTTGCTTTTCCAACGGCCTGTCAACTTTCTTCTTTTTTCGTTGGCATTTTATTCACACACACACACACACACACACACACACACACACACACACACACACACACACACACACACACACACAGGAAGTCAGACACCACTATGATCCCATCCTTTTCTGTAATGTACAAAATGGATTACATTTACATTACAAGATTAGTTTACTCTCTATATCTCACACACACACACACACACACACACACACACACACACACACACACACACACACCACACACACACACACACACACACACACACACACACACACACACACACACACACACTCAATATGCTTTATTGGCATGAACATAACAAGGACAATTTTCTTAACTCAGGAATCTACAGTAAAAACACACACTCCTTACCTTGTTGCGCACACTTTGAAGATAAATATATACAATATTTATTATGTAGGTTTGTGTTACAAAATGCAGAGTTCCCTAACAATCTATTGTTTTCACTCCTGATTATAAACCAATATGTATGTAATGTATGTCGTTGGTGGTGAGACAGGTGTTTGCTGCGTTACACTACTTAGTGTCGACAGCTGCATTTACTGCACCAGTTGTGGGGAATTCAGAGTTTCCCAAACAATGCAAACATACTGTAAAGCAAATTAAAAGAGAATAAATAAGTTAAGATCATGTTTGACATTATGTTGAAGACGGTATAACCCTGATATTTGTACTTTAAAGCCTTTTACAGTAGGTTGTGTTGTTACTGGCAGAGTCTGCATTACTCACATTGTTTTAAATGGGATTCACGGGACAAAATGCACATTCAGTCTTTGTGATTTTATCTCACTGATAAATAGAAATCCTCCTCGGTCTGATATATTGGAATATAAATAACTCTTTTACCCTTGAATTAAGATTGTTAAACACCTGAACTTTTGAAAGAACATTCATAACATTCATCTGTTTGCCACTTATTTATGGGGCAACTCGAGCACCAATGATACATTAACACGTGACGCACCTCGTCCCTCTTACAACCAACCAAACACATTCTCCTAAACATGCCGCTCTATTTAAGCTGCCAGGTCTTCTTGCCTCTGCCTCGCTCATGCTGCTGCTGCCACTGCTGTGTTCACTTGCTATTGCTACGTTCATGCTGCTGCTGCCACTGCTATGTTCACTTGCTATTGCTACGTTCATGCTGCTGCTGCCACTGCTGTGTTCACTTGCTATTGCTACGTTTATGCTCCTGCTGCTGTGTTTCACGTTGCTGCTACTCGCCTGCCCCACCACCACTCCAGCTTCCACCCCAGCTTCCACCTGTAGGCTCGGGGGGATAGTTATCTAATCATCACTCAATGTTCTTTGTAAATCTGTGGAGTGATGAGGCCCGAGCTACACTATATGCTGCTTCTAATAAACATATTAAGAAACACGTGAGTTGTCTGACTGAAATATCAATATTCCAATTACTTGCATATAGACTATACTCCACAATTTCTATTATATTCTATTTCATTGTATTTACTTGCACTGTTATCTGTTTTGTGTTGCACTGTTGGAGGAGCCTGTGACCTCAGATTTTCATTGTCACAACTACACTGTAGCTGTGCACACATGACAATAAAAGCCTTGAATCCTTGACATCTAATCTTTTTATTTACACAGTACAGAAGCAAAGACAAACAGGATTTATCAAATACACAGAAACACAAGAAAGCTGCATGACTTTTACAATAAAAAGCGCTTTATAAGTTGACAATGCTGCATTCAAGGACATTATTCAACACGTGAATGTGCTACATAAGAGTCCAACACAAGCTGCTGTTCCCCCTGCGGTGGAGGAGTCCATTTGCATTCACTTCATTGGTTATATTTGGTGAAGAAAGCTCAAAGTGAGTGGCCACATCATTACATTTTAATTTTTATCTCGAGCATTCAAAAGCCCATTTACATTCATGCCGTATTCACACTGGGGTTCTCTTTCACTCGCTCTCTATCTCTCTCTCTTCTTCCCCTTGCTCTCACTTCTTCTTCCATCTGTCTTTCAAGTCTCTACATTAGCAGCGGCTACGGGGGGGGGGGCTTTCGGCTTCTCTCTCCGACGTCCTTGCCGCGGTTTTTCTGCAGCTGCTGGCCTGCGATAAAGAGAGGAAAGAGGAGAAGTTTGCACACTAATTACGACACAATAATGAAAAGGCACTTGGTGAGAAAGGCACAGAGAAGATGAAGGTCAAACAGTCATTAATGTAAAGTGAATAGAGTCTATTAGGAAGAATCTGTAGAGGGAACAGAGATTACTGGAGAGAGAGAGGGGGGGGGGGGGGTAAAGTAATGTGTTTTTGACTGTAGATAGAAGTTAGGAACATTTACCGCGCACACTGGCAGAACTGCTTGGGCTGCAGTGGCAGGCGGCCCATTTTCATCTTTAGATATCTTCTCTGTAGCGGGGGGGAAAAAGAAAAAGGAAATCACATTTTAATTTCTGTTGTTTGTCTAGAGAGCGATGAGTAAGGCAATACAAATATTTGTATAACAATCCTCGGTAACACTTTAGATTGAGGAACACATATTCACCATCAACTCGTTAACATATTAGAGTCAAACTACTAGCTTATTGGTTATGAACAAGACTTCACTTTCAAAGAGGGAACATATTCTGAGTTACAAATACCACATTTTGAGTTATTTTGACACGATGAACACTTGTAGTTTCATGTCTTGTTCCATAAGAATAGACCATATTTGTTAGGTGTTATGAGAGAATGCCCATATTGAGCGTATTAAGACCCAAACTCATGTACCCACAACGTCCTTACTTGCAATAAATAAGCACTAATTAGAGGGTTATTGAGGAAAAACTAATGGCCTAGTCCTTGTAGAATATGGTCATGTAGAATAAGGCATTAATACGTGTTTTATACTGACTAACCCTTTAGCCAATAAACTGCTAATATGCATGTTAATTAACAACTAGTTGATGGTGAATAGGTGTACCTTAAAATAAAGTGCTCTTAAAGATCTGTAATGCTTGCAAACATGGCTCCTTCTAATAAGTGAGTGGTTGTTTTAAGAGAGCGACTATAAACCAGATGCATGTCATAAAACCCCCTCTGGACCAGGCTGTAAAAAACACTTTATCCTAAACCTCAAAACATATTTAATCAAGAATTCAGGAGTGTATTTCCTTAAATAGTTACAATTGAAACACCTTTAAAAAAAGACTGCGAGGTCCACCGTAGACGGACCACTTTCGGACAAAGTCCTCTCCATTAAAGGCAGCTCGTTGTGGAATAGCCTCCCAACTGAGATATGGGATTGTCCCACTCTCAATAGTTTCAAAGGTCAACTCAAAGAATGGTTGAGAAACAAACAGACGTGCAATCACCGCTAAATGCACTTTAACACAGGGGTATCTTCTCTTGCACTTTATGTATCGATGCTGCTATATTGTAGAGAGTGGTGCAGTGACGCGTCCTAAAACCCGGAAGTAAGTTAGCATTTTACCACTTCCTGTTCCCTCGTCTCAGAGCCAATGGGATCTCTCCATAGGATTTTGGAAAATAGCTGGAAATAAGGTCTGTGGTTGAAACACATTTAAGAGACGGATCACGTTTTGTTCTACGACATTAAATACATCAGCAGTGACCCCACTGGTGATTCTTGAAGAGTTGACGTGTCTGAAAAACGATGGTTGTTACCAAGTGGCTGAATAGGACTACAGAAGTTGTCGAGGACGTTGTACGTCATTACACCGAACACCTAAACACTCCCGCTAAGTTTGTTTGCCCTGTTCTGCTTGAAAGCAAGTACCTGCCTCCTGCAAACTGTTAAAACAAACGCTTCAACTCGTACCATTTTCAATCTGTAGTTTTGAATATGGATCTTAAGTTGGCGTGACGTTGAAGCAGCGACCCTGCTGTAGTTTGTTTATAGCATAACGTTAGCATTTTGCTTCTGGCGACTAGATTTACGATTAGAAAATTATAAAAGTAGGGTAGACACAGGGCCGGTTAGGGTTAGGGGTTAGGGTTGGCCAACATGAGGCCCCACGCAAAGTTATATGATGGGTTAGGGTTTCGCGAGCGTCGACGGGGGGGGGGGGGTGGTGCTCGTGGAGCCTCGCAGCGGCGAAACCGTGCCGCGTCACACTAATTGCGCCGCATAAGCGCATACAGTAGGTGTGCCGCATTTTCGGCTCAGGTGAGGCCCCCTCCGCAAGGTGAGGCCCCACGCTGTCTGCATGATCGGCCTGTAGGGAGGGACGGCCCTGGGTAGACATGTGGAGATTATCCGACTGAACAAAGCGTGATCCGTCTCTTAAATGTGTCTCAACCACAGACCTTATTTCCAGCTATTTTCCAAAATCTTATGGAGAAATTGTATTGCGTTTTTGTCGAAGGAACCGGAAGGAGTTTACTTCCGGGTTTTAGGACGCGTCACTGCACCTCTCTATGGCCATGTCATAAATACTTGTGTATTCTGCTCTTGCTCTTTTGCACTTTTCTTGCATTTCATGTATTTGTATTTGCTGTGTTTGTAAATGTCATGTTCTTAAATGTTTTATGTGAGGGACTGCGGATGGAAAGTAGCTCAAAGCTAAATCCGGCATATTTACGCTTGGCACATTTATTGTTTTAAGTGTTCATTAATGTGCAATGTCCCTACCAAATAAACGATTACAAAATAAATACATAAGTAATAATTCCACAGTTTCTATTGCAGAGGATTCTCTGGATGATTCTGTTCACTCACCTTCCTTCTTTTGATCCTCTTGCACAAGACAATGACCAAGACCACCAGGAGAAACACAACCAGGAAGCCCACTCCCACTGCGACCCACACCCACCACCTGAGGCCCAGCAGGAGAGAGGTGACGGAGGGAGACTGGGAAACGCCGGGTGGATATTGGGGAACAGACCCTGGTAATAGAAATGAGTAACACTTTATATTAAGGTACACATATTCACCATCAACTAGTTGTTAATTTACATGCATGTTAGCAGTATATTGGCTCTTTATTAGTCATTATAAAAACACTTATTTCTTTTGTATAATTGTATTTTTAACAGGATGAGTGAGGGTAAAAGGACATTACATTCAAGACTTCATGACACCAAGAAATCAACTGGCAACAAAACCTAACCCAAATGAGATAGTACCAAATAATACTTCATCCCCACTCCTTTTTTCAAAACAAACACATCCCACATGCCTTCCTTCCCACACAAACACAAACACAAACACAAACACAAACACAAACACAAACACAAACACACACACACACACACACACACACACACACACACACACCACACACACACACACACACACACACACACACACACACACACACACACACACACACACACACACACACACACACACACACACACACACACACACACACACACACACACACACACACACACACACACACACACACACACACACACACACACACACACACACACACACACACGACAAACTCGCTTGAGATGTTTTAAGTGTTCCCCTATAAAACACTTATTAATGCCTTATTCTACATGACCATATTCTACAAGTAATAAGCCATTAGTTAAGAGTTTTTCCTCAATAACCCTCTATCTAGGACTGTCTTAGGGAAGATAGCATTTAGATGCGCAGCTCCACTGTCCTGGAATAGTCTGCAATTGAAATGGAAACTGAGCAATCTGGTGCCACTAAATGTTTTTAAAGCTCGGTTGGATGCTACTGAATCGGAAGCTGTTGGTACCTGTTCATGTGGATAGTTATGTAAATTGTAATCCCTGTAATGATGCTGTATGATGTCCTTTTTGTTGTTCTGTTTATGTTTTAATGTTTTCATGTGGAACCTACTTGAGCAGGTCTCCCTTGAAAAAGAGATCAATGATCTCAATGGGATACACCTGGATAAATAAAGGTTTGAAATGAAATGAAATTAAGTGCTTATTTATTGTAAGTAAGGACGTTGTTGTGCATGAGTTTTGGTCTTACTAAGCTCAATATGGGCCTAATAAGGCATTCTCTCATAATAACACCTAACAAATATGGTCTATTCTTATGTAACAAGACATGAAACTACAAGTGTTAATTGTGTCAAAATAACAATAAATGTGGTATTTCTAACTGAGAATATGTTCCCTATTTTAAAGTGAAGTCTTGTTCATAAAAAATAAGCTAGTAGTTTGACTCTAATATGTTAATTACAAATAGTTAATGGTGAATAAGTGTACCTTAATATAAAGTGTTTCCTAGTATTAAAAGAAATTTGAATTGTAAGAGTTTGAGGTTCCTAAGAAAATGTCCTTATATTACAGTTACTAAAATAGTGTAGAATAAAACATGAATTCAGATGCTCTGCTCCCATATTAATTCAAGTTATATTAAAGTTACAAGTTTGACAGAAAGAAATCAGTGCTGGTTTAAGCTAGGGCTGGTACTCTGGAATAGCTAGGATGAGTACAGTAGATTGTGACATAGTGTTTCAAGCCTTTTTCCAGTCAAGTAGCGAGCAGCACTAGCTCTAAAAGTAATTAAATATTGCAAAACAGTCAAGTCGGCCACACTGACAGCCCCTACCTTTAGGCTTAAATCTAAGCCCCTAAAATAGCTGCATTTCACTTTTAACAGGCTAACTAGTTATCTTTAATCTATTACACTTCCTCAAAGGATCAATTGAAAGTAAACAACACAATGGCTGTTGTTGGTGCCCAAAGTTGTAATGCTTGCATCTCGTGGACAACGCCTCTGACACAAAGTAAAAACATTCAGGCCAAATTAAATTAAATGAATCCCGCAACAGATAAAGATATTGAATTTGTTGCTGTTTATTTGATTTAGTGAAAGCTGTTGGATGTGAAGAGAATGTCAACACATATAGCTAATACAGATTACCCACCCTAGCGTTAACTAAATGTTCCGAGGTATTTTCAGCTTTTCCCCCCCAATGTAAAACAACAATATCAAAGAAGTGAAACCATCAATACCGTTAACTTTCAACAGGGTAACTACTCATGTAAAACCAATCAGTGTACATTACTTAATGAGACTTCCTAACACAGTCAACGAGGCCGTGAAGAACTACTTTGGTTAATGTGTGTGCTTTTAGACAAGAAAGGTTACCGTGGATGGGAGTTGACTTGGGAGGTTTCTGGGTAGGAGCAGCTGCTTCAGGCTCTGAAAGCAAAGAAACAGCACGTTTGTCCCAAAGTGTTTGGTTGGTTAAAACCACGAGGTGACACAGCCAGTGACCAGAGGGGGGAAGTAGTGGAGTACAAATACTTCGTTACTGTTCTTAAGTACATTTTTCTGGTATCAGTACTTTAATCCACTACTTATTTTTCTGACGACTTTTTACTTTGACTTCTAACATTTTGAACACAAATACCTGTACTTTCTACTTCTTACATTTTGAACACAAATACCTGTACTTTCTACTTCTTACATTTTGAACACAAATACCTGTACTTTCTACTTCTTACATGTTGAACCCAAATACCTGTACTTTCTACTTCTTACATTTTGAACCCAAATACCTGTACTTTCTACTTCTTACATTTTGAACACTAATACCTGTACTTTCTACTTCTTACATGTTGAACACAAATACCTGTACTTTCTACTTCTTACATTTTGAACACAAATACCTGAACTTTCTACTTCTTACATTTTGAACACAAATACCTGTACTTTCTACTTCTTACATTTTGAACACAAATACCTGTACTTTCTACTTCTCACATGTTGAACACAAATACCTGAACTTTCTACTTCTTACATTTTGAACACAAATACCTGTACTTTCTACTTCTTACATGTTGAACCCAAATACCTGAACTTTCTACTTCTCACATTTCCCAAACAGGCTGGTTCCTTTAGTTTGAATGTGTGTTTGGTGGCGTGATCATTATTATTTAGAGTCATTGCGTGCCTATTGATTTGAACACGATCCGTGTATCCATCATTTCCTGGTCTTCTCTAAAGAAGAGGGACCAATGAAAACGTTGTCATGTTGCCGTTGTTCAGCATGGAAACATTCATTAGCTAACAATGACATTATTGTTCTATTAATATAAAGGGAGGTCAGGTACTCTTTAAAAACAGCTGCTAGTTATGGGTACTTTTTACTGAAGTACATTTCAAAGCCCTCTTTACTTTGACTTGAGTAAAGAAGTTTAGTCAGTACTTCTACTTTCACCAGAGTATTTTTAAACACGAGTATCTGTACTTCTACTTGAGTAAAAGATGTGTGTACTTGTGCCCTCTCTGTCAGTGACCCACCTTTAACTTTGATGACGAGGCTCTCCTTGTACTCCACCCCTTCATGGGAGAACACACACTCCCAGGTCCCAGCGTCAGAGGGGGAAACAGACTCAAGATGAAGGGTGTGTTCTGGGTGTTTTATTCCCTTTGGACTCTTCCACTGCTGCGCCGCCGAGTCGTGACCTCTGACCCCACACAGCAGCGAAGCGGTTGCTCCCACCTGCAGCTCACCGGGGGGGTCGGCTGAGACTGATGGAGAGATACAGGGAGAATTAGAACATCATTAACTCAACCTTATTTATCAAGCACTTTTTATACAATTACCAGGCACACATGCTTCACATACCCTTATGACACGACAGTGAAAAGAAATATATATATGTGTTAATAATTTAGTTTTTGGGAGAAGGGGTGGGATTGAATAAGTGTAAACTTCATCCCACCCCTTTTCGGATGTGTAATTAAGTAGATTATTTGTTTTTACATAATTTCAATCAGTAATATTTTTGTATATGAATTTGACATTGACATGACATGAATTTTGTATTGCATTATAATTCTCATGTTAAAAGTGTGTATTATTGTTTTACAATAAATCAAATCAAATCAAAACAGTAAAGCAACATCAAAATGTGTAACTTGTAATTATGAATGCAATAATGTGTACATAACTTACATTTTAAAGGGGGTAGAGGCAGAGGTCATTTTAAAGTGGACATATTATGCTATTTTTTTAGGTTCAAAGTTGTATTCTGTGCCACTTGATATTGATATTGAAGTGACTGTTATTTTGTATATTGATTGTTGTGTTTTTTATCTTAATGTGTGCATATGTGTAAATGTGTCTGTTGATTGTGTGGATATACATATTTTTATACATATCTGTATATTGTATTTTTGTATTCGGGATTGTTGAAAACGTCATTTCGATCTCTCAGTCTGTACACACAAACTGGAAGATTGACATTAAAGTTGACTTTGACACTGTTTTAATATTCAAAAAGTGCTTTATTTTTCTCACCGTGCTATTTGAGGTCTTCCCTTTCCTCTAGTGTGTTCTATAGGTTTGTGTGCATGTCAATGGTCTGCAAAGGCTAAAATCCCAAAGTTCACTCAACCTTATTTATCAAGCACCTTTTATACAATTACCCAAAGCCCACATGCTTCCCAAACCCGTATGACACGACAGTAAAGCAAACATGTACTGTGAAAACATGTGTAACCTATGGAGGATAAGTTAAAGCAGTCTATTCATTACGCATTATTATGTTATTGAATATTAATTAATAATGCAATAATGTGCCCCACTTCAATTTTAAAAGGGGTAAAGGCAGAGGTCATTTTAAAGAGGACATATAATAATTTAGGTTCATATGTGTATGCACTTCTGCAACATTCACTTTCCTCAGTGTGTTCTTTAGGTTTGTGTGCATGTAAATGGTCTGAAAGGCTCAAATCAGAGCAGACTGATCTCTGGTTTCAGACAGAGGGTGAAAAGAGGTGCTGCAGCACAGGCAGTATGAGAAAAATAAAGAGCTTTTTGAACATTAAAGCATGGAGACATGTCACAGTAGAGACACTACATACTGATATACACCTGAAAATGAGCAGAATATGGCCCCTTTAATAATAAATTGTGCATTATTTATTTTGACTTCTCTCTTCTAACACATTTTTTTTTAATTTAAACTTTGTATTAAAGGAAAGTATTTTTAAATTAAATTATTTCATATTGGATTTAAATTTGTGGTTGTAGAGGCGAACTCTCCTACATATATGCAATGCCGAATAGTATTTACAAAAGGGTTATGTCTTCCTGCTCACCTGAGACCACGAGCAGCGTGTGTTCTTGACTTTTCCTGTCTACTATGCACGTGAACTTTCCGGCGTCTTCTTCCTTCAAACGTGAGATCTGCAAGTTTGTTTCCCTGTAATCCATCGATCTCGACACTATAGCACTGCTGCCTGATCAGGAAATACATTAAATCAGCAAAAACAACATTTTAAAAAACAACATATTTTGTGCTGCAAGCAGTGGCAAATAAAGTACTATATTGATAATCTTACTGAAGTAAAAGTACTAAAGTATTATCATTGAATCAAACTTAAAGTACCAAAAAGTGTCACTGTGCAGAATGATCTATTTCAAAACGTCATTCATTTTAACATCACTTTAATCTTAAAGCTGGTTATTTTAGAGCGCATTGGAATTCCTTCAACAATTAATTCAGGGCTTGTGAATAAACACCACTGCCTTAATTCAGTATATCTTATTTTGTATTTTATTCTAATGTATTTTATTCTTATTTTTATTATTAATCTAAATCTGCAAAATGACTTAAGTTATCAAATACATGCAGTGAATTAAAAACAATGGAGTAATAGTTAAAATACAGAATGCAGTATTTTCTACATCACTTTAATGTCACTGCTGGTTCAGGCAGACCTCATTTTAAATACTTTAAATATTTATGGGTAGCTTGTTAATTTACAGAAAGTTGTATTGTGTCTTTTATTTTTATAAATCAAATAAATGCAGTGGAGTAAAAACAACATGAATTATAAAGTAGCAGAAAATCAAAAATACTTCATTAAAGTACATCATAATTGTGCTTAAAGGTGGGGTAGGTAATTTTGGAGAAACCAGCTCGAGTGCGCTAGAATTTGAAAATACACAACCGGAGAAAATCTGCCACTTCCTCACAGAGCCCCTCCTCTAACACACACGAATGTGCACATGACCAATGAGGGCACGAGATAAGTTTGTGCACAGATGGAAGGCTGACAGGCAGGTAGGCCATCCAGTTATTTTAGCTGGGCCGGCTAAAATGATTGGTCGTGCTTTTTACAGTACTACGGCTTCCACAGATGACATTCTTTTATGGATTTTTTGTCAAAGCACTTAAGATATTCATTGCTATCGGGATGTTAAGAACATTCCATGGAATATAACAAAAAGTGTATCTCGAGCCGGTTTCTCAAACTTACCTACCCCACCTTTAAATACACTACTTGAGTACATGTACTAAAATACATTTCCCCACCGGCTCAAGATAAAGTCTAACTAACTGTTTGGATGTTTTAAAAACACTCTTTGAGTTTGTACCTCTGCGCTTCATTCCACTCTTAGGTTTGTTAAAGATCATGTCCGGGCCGTGATGCCACTCCACGTACACCTTGGAGGAGGCGATCCCACACTTCAGGATGACCTTCTCACCCAGCTTACCGACAAACACTTCACCTGCAGCGCAGAGCGAACACAGCACTGCAGAGAGAACACACACTCAGTCTGATGTACACACACACAGCACTGCAGAGAGAGCGACACACACTCAGTCTGATGTACACACACACAGCACTGCAGAGAGAGCGACACACACTCAGTCTGATGTACACACACACAGCACTGCAGAGAGAGCGACACACACTCAGTCTGATGTACACACACACAGCACTGCAGAGAGAGCAACACACACTCAGTCTGATGTACACACACACACTCAGTCTGATGTACACACACACAGCACTGCAGAGAGAGCAACACACACTCAGTCTGATGTACACACACACACTCAGTCTGATGTACACACACACACAGCACTGCAGAGAGAGCGACACACACTCAGTCTGATGTACACACACACACTCAGTCTGATGTACACACACACACAGCACTGCAGAGAGAGCAACACACACTCAGTCTGATGTACACACACACACTCAGTCTGATGTACACACACACAGCACTGCAGAGAGAGCGACACACACTCAGTCTGATGTACACTCACACCACCAAACTTTTAAATCCAGGCTGAAGACTTTTCTATTTGCCGCTGCTTTTAACACTGTAACTTGTATTCATGTTTTGTTATCTTTGCTTTTAAATTTGTGTTTTTAAATGCCATTTCATAATATGTTTCTTAAGGCTCTTGATGTCTTTCATTTGAATTGCCTTGTGTTGAAAGGTGCTATATAAATAAACTGGCCTTGCCTTGCTTTGGAGACTGCATGGTGGATCATTTCTCAGGTTAAGGAAGTGAAACACAACTGCAGCTTTTTTTTAAACATATATTAAAAGTGTCTTGTAAATAAATAGGCACATTTTATATACGTTGCCTTCAATTAAATTCAGTCTTTTACCAAAAAGTTAGTACAATCATAAGATAAAATGGAGATGTGAGAGATGGCACAAACCCGGAAACAGGGGCCCGGATACTGAACATAAAGTAATTACAATAAATATTACAAAATGTTCTAGAATAATATTGAGTTCACGTATTATATAGAAGCATTACAAACTAAAAAAACACCTCACACTAATCAAATACTTTAAAAAAAAAACTACCAAATGGTCCCAAAACATTATTTTCATGAGTCGAAACATTGGTTTGAAATAGGTAAAATATATTATAAGCAGAGATATATGACAAAGGGAAAATACATTTCAGACACTTCTTCCCCAACAGTCCCCAACAATTAAGTGTATTTAGGATATGACATATTCACTTACTACCTTATTTTAATGGATCATTTATAAAGATTTTTTAGTAGTAGACGTATTTTCACTCACCGATCCCAAACCAAACGATTGTCTTCATTCTGACTGAGTGTTGAACCTAAGGGGTAAAAAATGGCAAAAAAAGAAAATGAAAGTCAAGACAAAAGTATTTGAGAAGAGATTTAATGCAGTGCTTCACGATGTGGAACATTTCCAGGTTTGAGATACCACACACTGCTTCTGTGTGAGATGAAAAACACGAGAAGATCCCTAACCACCGAGCGAGCTCTCGACTTCCTTCCTCTCTCGTTCTGTTGAATTAAAAATGCTTTCTTTGTAGACTTGCACAGTAAAAACCTGAAACAAATGTCAGTGGGAAAACTCCAGCATATGTTAGGCTCGTTGGCATTTAATTAACGCTTTCAATAATGCATGTAACAGGGTATATGCAGGAATCCTGAAGTCCCAAATGTAAAACCTTTTAAGACCTTTTTTAAGACCCTTCCATACATTTTAAGACCTCATCGCCACTTGGAGTTTTAACCGGTTACATTGGCGACACAATTTACCTCACATTTACTATAGTATTGATTGTCCTTCCTCCTTATCTTCCAACCATTTGGACGCAGACTTGCATTTCCCCATACCGATGTTGTTTAACAACCGTCGCAAACGGACCTTCGCGCGCTATCAAGCAGTGCGCGTGCGATGTCCTGTTCAGATGACGTCAAATCCAACGGGATGCCATAAAGAAACTACACAGAATCACACTACACACCTACGCAATGATTATATTCAGGCAAACTGTAGAATACAACCTCTTTGGACAATTTATATACTTATTGAAAACAAGCTACAAAATGTAATACCTTGGAAAATGCCGTTTAATACTTTTTAATAGCCTTCATTTTCGCTAAATTGATTTATCAACTTTTAATACTTTTTAAGACCCCGTGGACACCCTGATATGTAAAAGGTGCTTCGCTGTAAATACATCTGAGAACAGAACTCCTGATAAATCTTTAATTTTTGGTTTCACTCTGTATCCTTTAATGTTTCATGGTTTTAAAAGGTTCATAAATCCAGCAAAGTGAAACAAAAAAACTCAACATTTTCAGATCAATTCTCATTTTAAAGTCACAAATTATATCATTTTATTTAAGTTATTTTAGATAGCCGCAGCAATTACAATCCGCCAAGATAATAAGTCATTAAATAATTTAGACACCTGCATAATAACTCATCTAAAAAGCACAATTTGACATTTCATCGATATATTTCTCCTCACTTACCGAACTGTAAAATATACATAGTGATCATAAAGAATATTTCCCCTTAAATCAGATTGACCTTAGTTATTCACGCTACTAGATTACAGCATAGGTGCACGCATTTTCTTTCTCTTTAATCTAGTTTAATACACTTCATAATTTCTAAAAATAATACAAAAAATGCACGATTCAAGACGACGTGAAAGGCATTATCAAACTATGAAATGGTCAATAAACATACAATTAAAATCCATCATTACGGTGAGTTTCGACCACATTAAGGAGTCTTTTTATATTTGTAATTATTCGCTTATTTGGCGGGGACATTAATGAACACTTAAAACATGAAATATTGTTCCAATAGAGTTACCCTATGTGCCTTCTACTTGGTCTTCCACATTACAAATATCAAACACAAGAGGCTATTTAATTTATTGACTTTTGCAGCTAGAATTTATGTTTTGGATCAAGGATGTTGCTCCAACGAAGAAATGGTGGCATAACCTTGTAATGGAGTGCACTCCTAACGAATACATCTCTTGTATGCTTCACTCTTCAGTGGATGCTTTCCAGAAAGTATGGCTCCCTTACTTGGACTATATTGGACCAACACTGTCGTCTTCCATATTACGAGGGTTTCCTCCTTCAGCCTAGCGCTCCTATGCACTTTGGATTTGACTGTTTTTATGTTTTCCTGTAACCTGCTGTTTTCTCCCCCTCTCTGACATCTGTCCCCTGACCTCTCCACCCAGCCTCCCACCTTTCACCCCTGCCCCTGGACTTTAACCCCTACACACACACACAACCTTCCCTCATCCAGCACCAGTCACTTTTCTACCCATCTCCGCTGCTACTGCACTGAAACTGTACTTTGAACATTTTCCTATTTTGCACATAAAATACTTGCATTAATGTCAATTTATGTTCTGTGGACTGTGTTTTTAAATATATTATTAACCAGCACTTATGAATACTATTACTTAGTTGTATACCCCGTTTATCTAGGCCCTTTTTTGTTTTATGTATATATGTCACACTGTGGGACTGCGGGAAACGGTATCTCGAGATTTCTGTATGTATAACACATGTAGAAATGTTGACTTTGACTTGTTACCCCGTCATTTTGATAATTACTACTATCTAATTTAATTTTGTTATTGAGAATGGTAGAGGTTGGGGATCCCCACATTGTGCAGTGTTTTTTATTTCTTATACTTATCTACGTACCTTACTTGTCATGTCATGTCTGAGCTGTTCTGTTTTGCATTTGAAAAAAAAATTATATATTAAAAAAAATGAACATTAAAAGTGTAAAATAGTTTCCACCCGCAGACCCTCACATAAAACATTATGAAAATGAAAATTACAAACATAGCAGTACAGATACATAACATGTAAGAAAGGTGCAAGAGTAAGAGTAGAATACCCAAGTATTTAGGACATGGTAAAACAACATAGCAGCATCGATACATAACTGTATAGCTGTTTCAGAACATTAATACAATTGAATTACATTTTTACACGATGAAACTGTATTGCTTGTTCCTACCTTGAATGTGAAGCAGAGCAGCGTCTCCTGTGCTTCCCTGCAACGAAAACAAGAGCGCAAGGTTGCAAAAACCCGTAGAGAGCGGAAGAGATGTGAAGAGAAATGTGCAGTTTGGAAAGTTTTAGGCCAACGTCTACCCCAGATCTCTGTGGGCTGGCTCTCAGAAAGTAGACCTCGAATCCTGCACCATGCGTTCTCATGAGGCCTAAAGACACTCTTCAGATACAGTCAACAACAAAGGCGGTAATACGAATGCACAAACTGTATATATATTGCAATTTTGTCTTAATTTACATTATTTAATTTCATATTCTGTTCTTGTACATATCCCATACTCCATTGACATGTATATAGACTTTTTGCACTACTTTTTATTTTATTATATATGTTGCATTGTTGGAGGAGCTCAGGTCAGAAGAATTTCATTGCCATTTCTACACTGTAGCTTTGTGCTTATAATAATAAAACCTTTATTTTGTAAGCGCTTTTACAGGTGCTCAAAGTCGCTTTACAGAGGTAGTAAAAAAAAGAACAGGACAACAATTAAATATAGTAAAAATCACATTAAAATCAAGCAATTACACATTAAAAGCCAGTTTGAAGAGGTGAGTTTTTGTAAGTTTTTTGAAGGTGGTGAGGTCAGTGTCCTATGTCACATGACAATAAAACCTTTGCATTTGTTATTGTTTGTTTGTGTTCTTCGTTGTTCTTTCTTTTTCTCTTTGTACATATAATCAGTACAAACCATTGCCTCATTTGTAGATATGCTTTCCATTGATAAATGACAAACCTTGGTTAGGCATGGTTGAGAAACGTAAAAGTTCAATTCAATTCAGTCTATTACCAAAAGGTTTGAAAAAACAAGTACAGTCATAAGATAAACTGGAGATGGTACAAACCCAATAAAAGGGAACCAGACACTAAACATAAGTTCCTGTATTATACAGAAGCATTACAAGCTAAAGAAAACACCTCACACTAACCACATACTTAAAAACACAGACTTATGAGGGAAGGGAAAATAGAAACCTTGGGTGTTTCTCAATCGAGGAAGGCTGCTCCAGAGCCACTATTTCAAGGATGCTACGTCATCGAGTGGACTGTTCCAATGTCCAGGATGCTTGGAATTCTACCGAGGCCGGCGTCCTTCATAGCGAGAAATTTCGAGGCTGCACATGTGTATTCTCCGCGGTCTTAAAATCCCCACAATGCTTTGCGCACGGACCAATTTCCAAAATCGTTGGCGGAAATCTCACTCCATTTAAGGCGGGGCCTCTCATATGACGCACACCTGCACACCTGTTAGCCTGTTCCACCATTCTTCGTTCTCCGAGGCTAGGAAGGATTCTTGCCTCGCTTCTGAAGGACCTGACTCTGAGGGACATGTCCTACCAAGGATGCGTCCTCGACATTGAGAAACACCCCTTGGTTTATGCATTGTCGAAAAACGTAAAGCATTTTTTTTTGAATAAATTGTCGTACAATCTGCACATTTTTAACTTCCGTTTATATAATGAATTGTATACTATTTATTTGTATTTGTATACATTTTTATGTTTATATAAATATCTTTATTATTTTCATTCTAATGAAGCTCAGCGCAAGTTCAACCAGGAAGACCGTCTTTACTAATCCATTTACTATTTCTATGTTACGTGATCGGGGGCGTCACTCCCCAGCTTAACCAATCACTTCGATCTATTCTCACAAGCCTATCATAGCGCTCCGCTAACCCTTTTAAATCTGCTCTCCCCTCCGACAGCTGTCATTTCAGGTGACTCGACGCAACCCTCCTCCACCCCCTTTTCACCTCCTGTCCCTCTGAATCCAGGGTCAAGCTAAGCCCCTCCCCTTCAGACCGACCCAACTATCCATTCACCACCACCAGGGTCAAGCTAAGCCCCTCCCCTTCAGACCGACCCAACTATCCATTCACCACCACCAGGGTCAAGCTAAGCCACTCCCCTTCAGACCAACCCAACTACCCATTCACCACAACCAGGGTCAAGCTAAGCCACTCCCCTTCAGACCGACCCCAACTATCCATTCACCACCACCAGGGTCAAGCTAAGCCCCTCCCCTTCAGACCGATCCCAACTACCCATTCACCACCACCAGGGTCAAGCTAAGCCACTCCCCTTCAGACCGACCCCAACTATCCATTCACCACCACCAGGGTCAAGCTAAGCCACTCCCCTTCAGACCGACCCAACTACCCATTCACCACAACCAGGGTCAAGCTAAGCCACTCCCCTTCCGACAGACCCCAACTATCCATTCACCACCACCAAGGTCAAGCTAAGCCACTCCCCTTCAGACCGACCCCAACTATCCATTCACCACCACCACCAGGGTCAAGCTAAGCCACTCCCCTTCAGACCGACCCAACTACCCATTCACCACAACCAGGGTCAAGCTAAGCCACTCCCCTTCCGACCAACCCAACTATCCATTCACCACCACCAGGGTCTAGACCCCGGGGGGTTTCATCGGATCGGTTCTCCCCTCCCGAATGATACTCCTGCACAACGGGGCCTAATCGCCAAAACTCCATTACATTCATTTGTGTATTCCTGGCAATAAATATGTATTCTTAAATCAAAACTGTCTCTCCTGATTGAAATGTATTTGTTTTTGTAATTCTAAAAATGGAGCAACTGTCACAAACTCCAATGTCTAACTGGACAAAGAAAAGCCTTCTGGTCTTACAGGAGATGTGTGTGATTGAGCCAACTCAACAACTTGAAATCATGAAAACAACCCAAGAAGAAAAAGGGATTGTTATCGATCGTAGCGGTAAAACAAACTCCTCGACGACTCTTTCAAAAGAAGCAAGGCAGAATGACAGAAAGACAATTCTTTATTTGTCACAGCAGAAGTAACAAAGGATGTTTGCAAAGTAAAAACAAAGATATCACCCTCACAAAACTCCTTAAAGAAAAAACAAGTTGGTGTTTTCATTTCCTTTATTTGTAACACACATAAGAGCTGTTATTTATTCACTGACATTTCCTCTCGTGGTTGTTGTTCAACCGTTTGTTTTTTAACTTCCTCACTGAAACACGCGGAGCAGGAGTCAGTGTTTTACTGCTGACGCCAAAATGCAACCGTCCAATAAAAAAAAATGAAAATCAGGGGCAGGAAGCGGTTTATTTTGAGGGGAAGCGGCAGTGTAAATCAGGACGTGGATTACGGAGAGTTAAGCAAAGAGGGAATGGAGTTATCAACCCTCTGATGTGGGAGGCTTGTACCAGGGAGCAGGTTTTCTGAAGGCTCTGGAAGCTGAGTAAAACGTGGTAATATCAGGTGTTTTCTCAGCGTAGTCATCCAGGTAACAAACTAAATCTGCTGCTCTGAACAGACCCTTAGTTTGATATCAACGGATCAAAAGGAAAAACCTCCTTATCTGTACATCAGCACGATTTAATGTAACTGTATTTGTGCACTTTGAGGGATATATTTACACGTTTGTCAGTTGTGAAGCGTGCCAGTAAGAGCTTGGTGGGGTGTGACTATGAACTGTGTGTTTGTGTTAGCGCACACATAACTCCTTCTTCACCGAGTGAACCGCTCCTGTTCCTCTCATTCGGACACTCTCCGGTAGAAGTAGAGATAGCCCAGGTCTTTGGGAGGTTTCTCCGAAGCGCAGACCTTCTGATCGTTGAAGATGACCCACCTGTGGAGCAGAGAGATCACTCGGTTCACAAAGAGCCACGACATAACCGACAGGCTATGGGTTTGATCATGTTCACATAGTAGAGATGCTTTTTTTAAATCATAGGGTCTTGTTTTAAAATGAAAAACGCTTAATGTGACATCTGCTTTCGTCATATTAGGTTTCTTTGTGCAATCTCAGGTTGTTTATTTGTTTAAGAAGCGTTCACTAACTAAGATGAGGTCATTATTAGGCCTGTCGCGATAATCAATAAATTGACTTATCGTACGATAAATAAAAATGGACTCGATAAATTGCCGTTTACATGCGTGTTTGTTTACATAAGGATGTGACCAGAATTGTAGCCCGGCGCGCTGTGAGGGGCGGGGCTCACACACAGCCAGGTCAGGACACTCCGCGTGCAGCAGTGTAGCAGCCAAATTAATAATATAGAGACAAGCAGGAGACAACGTGTGACTTACTCGAGGGGAATTTGAAGTTAAATGGAATTGGTTGCAAAACCGATTTACGCCAAATCAACGAGGCGAACCTACGGACTTGAATGAGCCGGGCGGTGTGTCGCATTTGTTTTAAAAAGGTAGCAACAAAAGCTAGCAATACGACCAACCTTAAACTGCATCTGAAACACAACCACCCCATTCCGTGTTCCCAGCTGGGAGCAAACACGGCAGCTGGAGATGGAGAGCCCCCACCTTCCCGACAGTTTGCAATCAAAGATGCATTTGCCCGACAATGCAAACATGTTGGTGTTCCTTGCTCGAAATCTTTGAAATACAGATTTGGATATGGCCTGTTGAGGCATCTGGGTCTTTGGATGGACAGTGGACTGTACACTTGACTGTTGTTTTAAGGAGGTTTATTTTGCTTGTGAGACAATGTGTGCTCATATTTATTTATATATATATATATATAGATATATGAGAGAGAGAGCTCTGTTTTCCAGCCTGAGTCTATTTAATTGATTGTTGTGGTTGTGTGTGATTTTAATTAATTTGTTATAACTAAATGTATTTGTTTTATTTATTATATATAATTTATATATTTGAATATTATTTCACATTTCATTTGCAATGTTGAATGTTCAATAAAAAGTTCAGTTTGAAAGGATGTACTTGAATTATTATGATATATTATCATTATGTCAGTGGTCTAAAATGGTCTTACAACGGTGCCGACAATATTATCGTTTATCGCAATCATTTCAGGGAAAATGTATCGTCCAACAAAATGAATTATCGTGACAGGCCGAGTCATTATCATTACTATAATTATCATTTGTGACAATTTATTTCACATTTACACTTATTTATCCGTGGTTTTCTTCAGCCATGGTTGGTCAGAGCTGCAGTTACTCAATGAGCTGAAAGCCTCCCAGAAGAAAGATATATATAACATTTTAAATAAATGTAAGTGTTACATGCATCAACTGTGTCACAGTTA